GAATGTATTAATTGGTATTAAATGACTACATTATAATCTAAAAAAAGTATTAATTTGAACATTTTTCTATTGATTTCTAATATATTCTTCTGTGTATTTTAATTTGTACAGGTTTAATAGCTTTTCATTGTTTTTTACAATACTGTGAGAGTGTCGAGAAATGTTTTTTCTAAAGTGAGAATCTCGTTTTACAGTTTAATTCTCATCTCAACGAGTACCTTAAATTAAGAACTTCTTACTAATCTTTAATTTTTAAGTTTTGTTCGTAGCTTATGATTAAACTCTAGCAAAATTACTAATTTGATCATTGCTTGGAAAAACACTCTCACTTATTTTTGGTTATTGTTAATTGATAGTGGATTGGTTTGATCCCCTTGACAAGTCAATTAATCTACGGCCAATGACAATGGCTACCTTTTCTGTACTTTAAATTTTACTTTTTAATTTTACTCTTTGGAATTTTTACGGTTCAAAATATTATTTCTTTACAGGTTTTGAAGAGGTTTACTATAATAGAAACATAAATAACTTATAGTTAAAATACTGACTAAGATTAATTCCAATAATTCATCTCTTTAATTAAATTTCTGTCCTTTGGAGATGATATAAGAAAAACCTTTTCTAATAGTAAGATGTATATATATAAACACAGTTGTGATGGTATTAATACTTATAATTTTTAAACTGTTTTATTTTTAGTTGAAAATTATACATTTCTTCAAATTTCATTTCATGAAACTTCATGGCTCCATTAAAGACCATTTGCGAAACGCTTGTTTAGCATATTACGTGTTATTACTCTTGTTGCCTTATCTGTTCAAAAATGATTTCTTTCTTGTACTTAACACCCTTTAATGAAAACCACGGCACGCCACTGATTTCGTATGATCGTTTGGATATGAGAGTGAAAAGAGATAGCGAAATAAGTATTCAACCCTATTTAAAAACTGAGTATTTAGAATGAGAGCATATACTTTCTTAACTCTTTCATAATTAAACATATTAAAAAATATTGTGACATTATACTGAAAAAAGACTTATCTGAAGAAGCTGAGAATGCTATTTTCAAGAAAATTGTTTTAAAGTATTTAGCTAAAATTAGTTCAAAAGTCTAATTTCCTTATTTTAAAATTAAGGGCGTCTCGTTTTAGGGGCATACGTTTTTTCACGCCTTAAGAAAGACTTTATCATTTGTCCTCTTTCATTCTTTAATGTACTTTTATATATATTTTCTGCCTTTTATCATTCATTTATTTGTATGTATTTTTTATTAGAAATTTATCATTTGTCTTTATTCGAGCCTCGGTGTATTTTTATTAGAAAATTTTTCTTCGTTTTTTTTATGCATTTCTATTTGTTCTTTGTTCGAAATTTAACATTTGTCCTCATTGTGTCCTTAATGGCGTGTTGGTGTATTTAATTATGGCAAAGCACACTAAGGCTATCTGCCTAAGGGGAGGGTTGCCTTCGTGCAGGACTTTCTAAGGGAAACTGGCTCGTATACACGTTACACATGGGGAAAACCACGAAAACGCCCATGCAGCCAGCCCGTTCGCGGGATTCGAACCTCGCACCGAACTACCAGTGTTCAGCGACTTTACCGCTCGGCCGCTGGTGGGCGAGTCCTTAATGTATTTCTATTATATAATCCGTCCTCATCTTTTTAAAATTCTTTATGCATTTTTATAATTCTTATTATAAAGTTCAGCAAGTTCGCAATACAATTAGCTTAACGTAGTATACCGTCAGGTTATAACTCTAATAAGTGTAGATTAATGTCATGCATTATGTATGTGTAGTCTAATGTCATGTGAAGTGTAAAGTATGTATGTACTAATTCATGCAAGTATTATGTATAAGTTTAATGTCATGTCATATATCATGTATGTAATGTCATGTTTCATGTATGCATTATGGCCTATGCACACCCAGGCAACCATTAACATAAGAATCTGTACAGAACCAATGTCAAACTGGAATAGCCCCTGTTTGGCCACGTAAACTTTTTCATGAAGGCTCAGGAACTCCTGGTGCGCCCTTGTGGGACCCCAGGGAGTTCTTGTATCTATATAGGGGAGTGCCTGTTTACCTCCGTTAAACACCAGGCGTACATATGCCTGGTTACCTCCGTTAAGCACCAGGCGTCCCCGTCACCTGTCACCTGCTTATTATAAAATAGCAATTGCATTAAAACTTAGTGACTGTGCCAAACTCCAAATTTAGTGCTATTAGTACCACAGTGTACACTAAACTTTAGTGTAGCCTGAACTCTTGCAAATTTGAACTATAGTGCAGACTGTACTTTCAGCGAACTCTAACACTAACTCCTGGCACCATAACTCTACATCCTGTTCTAATTGCTTCATCTCTGTGTTTAAGTACTCACAGCACATTTACAACCACAAGGATACCAGCAATACACATATGACTCCCTTTACCCCACTCTGTATTTTTTTAAAGTATTTATTACTCTTGTTTTTACTCTTGTATCTCACATATGTATCTCTCTTCATATTTATCTTAATATCAATGCATCCTTATGTTCATTTCTGTTAGTATTCGTTTGTTTTTGCCTGTACATGTATCTATTCTTGTATTTGTTTTGTATATTTTTTATGTATCGGTGTTATTCCAACACCCACAAAGTTATTGTCACGCAACCATTGTCAAACAATAATTCTCAGCCCCTGTTTGGCCATGTATTGATCTTTAGATCCGTATTATAAACTCCCGATTCAGCCTCACGGGGCCTCAGGGAGTTGTTATTCCTAGATAGGGGAGGGCGTGGGACACACGCCTGTTTACCTATGTTAAACACCAGGCGTCCCCGTCCTCCGTCACCTGTCACCTGCTTATTATAAAATTTGTCACTGTTCTTTTTTGTGTTTTTTTAATTAAAAAATGTGTTTTTCATGATTTCTCTTTATCGCGTTTATTGAAGAAACATTCTTGATTTGAATGTTGAGGCAGTAAATGGTTGTTAAATTTGAAAATCGTTAATCATTGTTAATTTAGATAAATCTTTTAATTTTTTCTTTTTATGTCGTCCATGCTTAGAGAATTGCTTATTATAAAAATTAGATTTTTAAAAATTTCTTTGAATGTGTTTTTTTGTTCATTTATTAACTACTAATGTCTAATTTTAATACTCTCTAAAGTTAAATTACACATGCAGTAATTTCAGACAATTTCAAACTATGGGCCATTTCTAAGACTTAGTACCGTGGGTTATACAGTTTCCACTTTCAGATCAGATAAGGGTATCAGAGCATCAAAAAAGACAAATACATCAGCAACACGCTGATTTTACGATGCACCTCAAATCATTTGAGTGTCAGCAAAAATGTGTTTATTTATAACTTGTCTTCGAACAAATAATACATATCTCATGATCTAGCTCACAGAATTAATCTAACTCATTGATCAATCTCACTGAATCAATCACTAAATTAATGAAAAGATCAAGTATCTTCTAGTTCTGATGTTGGAACTCACGTTAGGTTGTACAGGAAAAATGAATTATTATCACTTTCTTATTCAAAAGCTGCTAAGTTGACAGTCATTTGAAACAATCTTAACATATAAACTGCAGTTTCTCTGCCCAGCATTCTTCCTCGTCTCGCTTTTTTTTTTTTTTTAAATTTTTTTATTTGTAGTTAATGATAAGGAATAAATTTTAGCTCTGTTATTCAATTCATTACATTATTCTTCACTCAGATGAAAAGCTTTTTGTTTCACATAATCACCGCTAAGTCTTCTTTCTTTTTCAGTTTACTCTGATTAAAATAACTTTACAAATATAATTATAAAATGCTCGATTCTCTGTCAGAGAAAAAACTATTCAATAATAGGTAACTTTCCAATCCAAAGAAATTAAAGTAACTATGAAAAGCTTTGAGTTTACATTATTTTCATCCTTTTACCAATATATTGAAAATATTAAGCAAACTGTTCCTTTAATATTTAGCAAAAATTCCTTTCCGTTATTAATAATGAAGTTTAAATTTTTTGCCTTGTAAGGTTTATCCTACGTTTTTATAACAGTTAATTTTTAGTTAAAGTTACGTTCCTGTCCATTCGTAATTTGAGCTTACAACTTCTGGCCAGAACGTATTTTCAAAATCGCAGTTAAATGCAAATGAGGAGGAGAAGTATTTAACTTTAAAGTTCTACTGACTTCGTTAGACAGCCAGATATTCTGAGCAGCCCGCGTTCGCCTTTTAGGCTACTCTTTCTCTTAAGCTATTATTACGCTCGGCCGTACTTTAGACCCTTTATAGTTTCGCCGTTAGTTGGCGTTAAGGGGCCAACTCTCTTAGAATCTTGATAGCTATGGCATTATCTTTTTAGTTACGTTTAGTTGAGTTTTACTTCTTAGTATTCCTGAGTTCAAGCCCAAGTGGAGTCTTTATTGTAAACTCCAAGAAGCAGTCGCCTGTTAAATTTATTTTGAATAATATAGGGTATTTAACCCTTCTTGAATTCTGCTCTCTGTTCACGGAGCTAAGCGATTATTCGCTTACCGATTTTTAAGTTTCCTCATTTTCAGCTTTAACTTAAAGGCAGGAATCTTACAGCCTGAACTACAAACATGAGAACAAGAAATGATCATAATCGGTCCAAAATGGGGAGGGGGTAACAAGCTACCAAGAAAGTTTATAATTCTACCATATGGCTATATTATTTTTATTTCATATCATTTCTACAATTTTCAAAAGTAGAGTTCTATTCAGTAATAGCACTAATTTTTTTCGCACCATTCTGTCATGAAATTTATTTCTTAAAACTATGCGTGGCTTCTTACTCAAAACATTTACAACTTGACTCCCTCAATAATTTTAGGTGTCCCAGCGAAATCATTATCGGATTTTGGAATATCTGTTTTAAATAGTCTGTTATTACCATTTCAATTTATTCATCCTTTTTTTCGGGTTTAGCATAAATATGAGTTTATAATTATAATACAAGATGACTTGGATTCGAAATAAGTTAAACTTTACCTTATTATCATGTGCATACTCGTATCCATCTGATTTACACTGATGAGATCTTACCAGCATTTCTAACTGGTGCCTTTCTAAGAATGAACGAGTTACTTCTGGTCCAAAGAAACAGCCACCTCCTCGATAGCCGTTATGGCAGCATCCTGGTTGAGGTCGGGGATCACTCCACAGAAGATCAACTATCTAAAAATACATTACTGATTGAAGGCATCGTTTCGCATTGAAAACGTTTTTGTGGAAAGAAAGGTTTTTCTGAAGATAAAGAAATTAGATTTAATATAAAGCAGAGTCTAATAATTTTGATCATCTTGAATCTAAAAGAAATGCAGTGAAGTTTCGTTATACAGAATGTTTGCAACTAAGTGGCTTTTAATTGGTTAAGCATAGATCCATGGTCCCAGTTTAAGAAAATAATAAAGAAAGGCTTTCTAAGAGTTTCGGTCGTGTGACATCTTCTATTAGTAAATATTCATAGAGTTACAATTTTTATGCGGGACCTTATACGCAGAATGTTTCAGTTAGTAAGTTAGCATTTATTTTACTACAGGTTTTGAAAAGTCCATACTATGCAGCGCTACAGTTAAAAACTATCCGAACTTCATGACTTAAGCCTCTTTCACACGAAAAAAGGAATAAAGGTTGTATAAAACTAATTTCATTAAATAAACATAACAAATTTTAACATTTATACAAATGGTAATTTCAAACCCTGCTTCTAAATTTATGTCTTTGTAATGTAAAACTTTGTAACTTTGTAATGTTTGTAAACTCTTATAATTTTACATTAGAAAACTTAATATACACATCTGCCGTCCAAAGATATTTTTCTACAATCCTAAAACATTTTAATTACCTCCAATTTTGAGCCTTTGAACTTATGCGCAAAAAGTTCTTAGATTTTTAAGTCTTCCATTAAAAATATTATTTTTTTACCTACTGAGACTTATTTCCTTAAGAGTTCCGAATGAAAATTCTAATTTCGGATATTCTTATTACAAGAGGTCATGTGACGAAAAGTACTATAATCTGAAAATTACTATAATCTAACTTACCTTATTTGATTTATTTCTTAAACTGGAGTTCTATGTCAGCAATTTATCATTCAAGATACAGTCAGTCACAAAATCCTTTTGAAACTCCTTGTATATTAAAAAGGCAATTCTTAGCATCTACCTCGTTTTTCGCACTTATCATGCGATTAAGATTATGTAACTTCTCTGACTATATGGAATTAATTTACTGAACTACACTCATAATCACGCTCGTTTTCAAGCTCGCTTATCGAAGCTACTTTTAAATCTCTTTAAATAAGAAAATTCGGAAGAAAGATGAAAGTAAAAAATTGTGAAATAAGTACAGTTTTCCCTGTTCGAAGAGATCTGAAATTCGTTGGCAAGAAAGATTACAGTAGGCTGTTATAATATGCTTAAAAGTTATATTTACTGAATTTTTAAAATTGGGTAAAATTGAATTCCATAAATATGATTGGTATTAATTTAATATCTTTTTGAAAACATTACTATCACAGAACAACCTTACGGCAGGGTAAGTAACTGGAGCAGGACCGCCCCCCTGGCAATTCTGCTGTATGGTCATTCAGGGTCCTCTCCCTACTGCCACAAACGATGGCAGCCAGCAGCCCGGCCATGTACTCCTGTCAGCCAGGAAAATTAAAGAAATTAAGCTAACACTTAAAGCCACCGGAAAACCGAAGCATGGGGGCCGAGTAACACAAACGTTAGTAAAAAGAAACCAAGGAAATCTCAAAAAGTTACATTATCAATAGATTGCAAAGCTAATCTTTTCACATACAAACATACAAAAGGGATAGAAAGAGAGGAACTAAAAATAATTAAAGTAATAAAATGTTTTTAATAAGAACAAAATTAATAATAAGGAAAATTAAACACATAACATCAAAAACACCAAATAACAGCGTAAGACGCCATTGAACAAAAACTCATCAGGACAATAGAAATAGCACAGCACACTCTCGGGTTTTATTATATACAATAACATAGTCAAATGCAAACTTCAGGACAATCAAAGAGTCTAATTAATAAAAAGCATAAAACCATTAAAAATCAATTATTTACAATTCTCAATAAAATACAAACTTCAAGACAATCAAAGAGTAAAATGAATAAAATACAAAGTCATATTAAAATTAATTAACCTTACGGCAGGATTTCAGATTGTGCATCTTCGAAGAATTACTATCCGTCCATGCATCAGCTTGCGCGTAATAATTCGAAAAGCTGCACACAACCACGCTAACATATGAAAAATGTGACAGCAGGTTTAAGGAAATGTCATTACTTTTATCTCGGGAAAAATAACTTTAAATCATTCTTTTAGATGAAAGATGGCTAACCAGCGACCCGCCTTTTAAGATTTTGCAGTCCGCTGTGGAAGTTACGAAATTTGTAATTTGATATCTTCTATTGAAACAGCAAAAATTAAGAAGTCCATTATGAGTCTTCCGAGTAAAAACAATATGGATTGCCATAGTAGATATCAAGCTCACTGCAGCTTCTGAATGGTCGAATCGCGGCTTCTAATTAGTCGGAAAATCAACAATAACAAGGCTGGAGCGATCACACAAAACACTAACGGTTTAGTACCTTCAGTACAGTAAACTATTAGAAAATTGTTGATGTAAACAGACAATATAGTAAACAGTGGAGGGAAAAGTACTGTTTTGTTATTTAAAACTCCAATTTGATGTATTTAAGTTTTCGAGAAACTGTCGCCGTATTTAAAAAATACAATCTGAAAAGATATCAAGAAACAAAACATAGCGGTTATATGATATTGCAGAAAGGAATAAAAGAATCGAAGCTGACATAATTTAAGTCGCAATTAAAAGCTCAAGAAAGAATGACATTCAAATGAAATTGTAGAAATATGCATGAATTAATTCGAGGTTTCAAATAATTCTCCTTGGCATTTGACGAAAATTCAGACATTTCGGACACAGCTCATTTTACAGTATTCATTCGTGTAATAAATGAATGATTTAAAGTAACCGAAGAAATGTTAAATCTGATCAGTTTGAAGGATACTACAAAAGGAAAAGGTATTTTTCAGGCTGTCAAAAACTTTCTATACAGAAACAAGTTACTTCTGGAGTATCAACTGATGGCACAGTAACTATAATTGGCAAAGGTAAGGGGACTATAAAATTACTAATAAATAAATTATAATCAAGCAACATTAAAAATCGAGCATTTAATTGTTATCCATTGTTTGATCCATCAACAAAATTTATACTTTCAAGTATTATTGAGGAATCGTGTTATGCAAGTGATCATTGAAACAGTAAATTATATTCGATTACACACACTTTTGCATCCACAGTATAAAGAATTTCTAAGATGCTGAACATGGTGAGGTTATATATTTCAGTCATGTTAGATGGTTAAATCACTCAAAATGCTTACAACGATTTTTTGAGTTAAGCCAAGAAACTGATTTGTTTATGAATGAGATGAAACAATCAGTGCCAGAATTAAGCAATGGTGAGTGGTTGTTCGATTTTTGCTTTTTGGTGGAAATAGTAGGAAAACTAAATCAATTTAATATATCTTTACAAGGAAAAGACAATTTAATAATTGATGTTTTTAAGCAGATCAAAGCATTTCAGAAGAAAATATTGCTATGTGAATCGCAATTAAAAAAGGAATAAAAATTAATATTTCCATTACTGAAAGAATTTAAAAATTCGGAATGATTCTAAATATGCAATATAAATAAAAAAAATTAAAACTGCTTTTGACCGTCAATAAAGCAATTTAGGCAAATACGATAAAATATTTAAAATATATATAGCTCCATTCCAAGTAGACATCGAGTCGGCTTCATAAAATCTCCAAATGGAACTACATGATTTACAGTGCAATGACGAAATGAAAAGTGCTTTTAGAAAAGCAGAATCAAAAATTGATTTTTGTAGCACTTATATAAAAAAAGAAAAAAATTTTTAATTTGCTAAATCTGGAACAGAAAGTTGTGAAGGCTTTTGGAACATTTTACGCTTGCGAATCTTTTTTTTTAGCCCAAAGGGCGTTAGCCCAGAAGGGCTATTAATTTCTTTTTGGCATTTTGCGTTAGTTCACTATAAACGTCGGTCCGCTTTTCAAATTGTTGCTACCAAATATTAGAGCCTAGTGTTATATCGCCAGAAATTAAATAAAGATTCTGCATAAATGTATGTATATTTCTCGCATTGTGATAAAACATAGGTACCTAGAGCTATCAAATTTTGAATAATGTAATCTTCCACTGAATATAGGCATCTGGAAGATCGAATTTAGAATTTGAAATTTTTATTATCGATTTCATATTTTATAACACTTTAAGGAATTTTTTTGTTAACAAACTCAACGATTTCTATGCGACAAATGGCAATATTGTACGAAAAAAATTTTTTTTTTATCTCCAGCGCGCGAGATTGTATCGGAAATTCTAAAGATATGCTCATGCGATATTGTTTTTGAATTGAATTTTATGGTTTAAGTGCGAAGAACATGATATTTAATAAATAAAGGTAACACATAAAACGTTAAAAAACGCCGCTTTATGGAACTTATATTATTGGCGTCCTTAACTAAAGAAAATCTGTAACATCAATTACGATGAGCAAATACAAGTACTGAGATCGACTTGAAAAAAGAAGTGAAAGAAAAAGGAATAGAAACAAATATCGCATTGATTATAGCAAATGTAATATTCGATTGTTTTATTTATTATTATTTTTTTGTGTATTGTCAAAAATGTTTAACGGTTCCATTGCTAATTTATGAACAATAATAACAACTATAGCAAGAATGTAATCTACTTTAAATTTCCTCCTCAAAAGTTTGACACACACAAATATATATATATATGGTATCAGTTAGTTCTACACAGCCACCAGAGAGCCTCATCTGTGCGCAGACAGAGGGAGAGCGAGATGAAAGACAAGATGTTGATTTCCACACGAAGGTGGTCACAAAGAACTTTGTTATGATAACGAAGGCGAGTAGGCGCCGAGTTGTTATTTAAATACTAAAAGTGACGCAGAACTGTATTTGTACCTAACAAGCACGAGAACGTGCAACGGTACTGTTATTCAATTCAAATCTGTAACTTTTCTTTTAATATTTCACTAAATATTTTGTGGTGTGGAAATGTTATTTACT